AGAATGAGTCCTATTGCATTTAATTGGAGGTGTTGGTGTGAAATCATGGCTTTCAAACTATTTAGAGGTTTGTGTGTTTGTGTGTGTGTGTGTGTGTGTGTGTGTTCCCATTTGTCTACTGAGAGGTGTCGGGACCAGTGATACTTCAAAGAAAGTAGGCGCCTGGGGGGCTCAGTCAGTTAAGCGTCCGACTTCGGCTCAGGTCATGGTCTCACGGTTCGTGGGTTCGAGCCCCGTGTCGGGCTCTGTGCTGACAGCTAGCTCAGAGCCTGGAGCCTGCTTGTGATTCTGTGTCTCCCACTCTCTCTGTCCATCTCCTCCCGAAAATAAGTAAGCATTAAAAAATAAAAATAATAATAATAAAAAAAGAAAAGAACAGAAAGGAGTACACACTTAACACCCGGGTCCTGGTTTCTCAATGCCATTCTCCACTTCAAAGCAACCCAGCCTCTTTGGAAAATGGCTGATACCAGAGCTGGGACAGGGAAAAAGAGCCTGGAACATCTAGTTTTAATAGAAAGGACGTGTTGGGGTAGGTCATCGAGAGGACCACTAGTTGACCTGTGAGCTGGGCTCGGTCACTCAGAGGCTCCTCACCCCTTCCTCGATCCTTAGAATTTCACTTGCCTTCTCTATTCCCAGAGGCTGCCCCGAGGACATGGCCTTGAGGTAGTGATGTGGTGCTGAGGCCATCTGAATGGATATATGGGAATGAATTCCATTAAGATTTCACCAGATTTCACCAGAATCCCTTTTAAGATTCTGGTGGGCAGGTGTGGAGACCTACTTGCCTTGCAGACATCCAAGACAAGCCTCGTATGTCATTCCTTTGCTTATTAAAACTGCTACCTACCGATCTGGAGTGGCCTGCTTCACTCTTCTCCTTCCTTCTGCCCTATATGTATTGGGACTAGTTTCAGATTTCACCGAAAAGAAAGTCCTGAGGTTGCAAACCAACAGGAAGGAAAACTGATTGGCCAAAAAAAAAAAAAAAAAAAAAAAAAAAAAAAGAGAAAAAAAAAAAAAAAAAAAAAAAAAAAAAAAAACCACGGATAAGCAGATGTCAAAAGAACACAGAAGCCAGTTTGAAAGGCCTCCACTGGCCAAATCAAAGACAATTTAAGCATCAAAAATATGGGAGGAAAAAGTAACATCAGCAAAAATGTCAGAGTAAAATTTGCCCTTCTATAAAAGCAATGGAATAAACTGCAAATATGTCGGAATCAGCATTTTTACAACTCTGAAAATCAACCCAAATCTCACAATAATTCAGGGAGCATGTAGTAAGCGAAAGAGCCGGATCTCAGTAAAGAACAGTGAGCTCGGTAGAATCTTTACTTTCTGTAGTTCTATTTCCCACTCTCCAACTCGGAAGTAGCCTTGAAGAGCGACAGTGGATAGCTGGTCCTGGAGGGAGAAGAACACAGCCGGAGCTCTTGAAAATCCTCATTGCCAAGCAGGAGTCATCATTTGATCTGTCTGATCTCCCTGGAAGATCACACTTGAAAAGCTGGTCTTTAATTGACCCTGCTTGAACTTGCCCAGTGCTAAAAGCCTCTCCCCAGGGGACACCTGTCAAATGTTTTAAGAAGACACCTGCAATGAGGCAAATAACAGCATAATCAAAAGTCTCAAAAGGAAAAGTTCAGGAATGAGAGATGTGCTTGGGGCTTGGAAGAGTTCTGATATATTCTTGGGATCTGGAAGGTCACCTGTACAAGGCTTTGTGTACACCTAGGAAAGATCTGAGGAAGCCCTAAGCTCTCACTTCTGGCTGGCTTTGAGGCTCTCTGAAAGCAGGAAGTGAAGGCTAAGGCAGAGATTCAAACTTTCTGGCTGCGTGTTGAACTTGGTCTGAACATACAAAGATCTTCAGCAGAGATTGGGAGACTTTTAGAGGCATTCAAGGAAATCTCTGTCCTACCATCAGCTAACTTCTAAGCTGAGTAAGTAGAGATTTCCGTATGCATACGTGACGGAGAATATAGACTTTACAGAATTAGTTCAGAAAAGTCATCAAATAAGCGAAAACAACAAACAGGAGCGACAGGAAATCTTTAGGAGGAGGGAAAATCTGATTTACATAGCTGCCACAGTATTTGAATTGTCCATTTTTTTAACAAGAATATTATGGAACATACAAAGAAACAAGGAAGTATTATCAGTATACGGGGCGTGGGAGGGGTGGGCAGGAACAGTGACTAAAGACTGTCCCTGAGAAAGCATAGCTGTTGGAGTTAGTAGACAATGATTCTAAGTCAGTCATTTTAACTAAGTTGTTATTAGTCCTACCTAGATTGTTATAAATTAAGACGTTGGGGCGCCTGGGTGGCTTAGTCGGTTAAGCGTTCAACTTTCGCTTAGGTCATGATCTCGCGGTTCGTGGGTTCGAGCCCCGCATCGGGCTCTGTGCTGACTGCCAGCTCAGAGCCTGGAGCCTGTTTCAAGTCTGTGACTCCCTCTCTCTCTGACCCTCCCCTGCTCACACTGTCTCTCTCTCTCTCCTAGAAATAAAAAATAAAACATAAAAAAAAATTATAAAAAAGATGTTAATAGCAATCTCCAGGGCAACCACTAAGAAAATAATTTAAAAATATATAGTAAATGAAACTAGATGATTAGAACGGCACACTAGAAAATATCTATTTAACGCAAGAAAAGGGAATCAAAAAGACATAAGACATACAAAAAACAAATGCAAAATGGGAGATATAAACCCTACATTATCAGTAATTACATTAAACATAAATGAACTAAACTGTCCAGTTGAAATGTAGAGATTGACAAGAAATTAACAATAGAGCTACCCTACGACCCAGCAATTGTACATCGAGATATTTATCCAAGGGACACAGGTGTGCTGTTTCTTTTTTTTTTTTTTTAATTTTTTTTTAATGTTTTATTTATTTCTAGGAGAGAGATAGAGACAGCATGAGCAGGGGAGGGTCAGAGAGAGAGGGAATCACAGACTCTGAAACAGGCTCCAGGCTCTGAGCTGGCAGTCAGCACAGAGCCCGATGCGGGGCTCGAACCCACGAACCGCGAGATCATGACCCAAGCGAAAGTCGGACGCTTAACCGACTAAGCCACCCAGGCGCCCCTCAGGTGTGCTGTTTCAAAGGGGCACGTGCACTCCAATGTTTATAGCAGCACCATCAACAATAGCCAAAATATGGAAAGAGCCCAAATATCCATCGACGGATGAATGGATAAAGAAGATGCGGTATACACACACACACACACACACACACACACACACACACACACACACTGGAGTATTACTCGGCTGTCAAAAAGAATGAAATCTTGCCATTTGCAACAATGTGGATGGAACTAGAGGGTATTAGGCTAAGCAAATTTCATCAGAGAAAGACAAATTTCATATGACTTCACTCATGTGAGGAATTTAAGATACAAAACAGATGAACATAAGGGAAGGGAAGCAAAATAATATAAAAGCAGGGAGGGAGACAAAACATAAGAGAGTCTTAAACACAGAGGACAAACTGAGGGTTGCTGGAGGGGCTGTGGGTGGGGGAAGGGCTAAATGGGTGAGGGGCATTAAGGAAGACGCTTGTTTGGATGAGCACTGGGTGCTGTACATCGGGGATGAATCACTGGAATCTACTCCTGAAATCATTATTGCACTACATGCTAGCTAATTGGATGTGAATTTAAGAACTAAATGGCTAGAATGTAGAGCTTGACAGAATGCCCTAAAAAAGATGATTCAATTATATGCTGTCTACAAGAGACCTTATTTGTTTTTAATGTTTTCAAAATGTTTTAAAATGTTTTTACTTATTTCTGAGAGAGAGAGAGGCAGCGTGAGCAGGGGAGGGTCAGAGAGAGAGGGAGTCACAGACTCTGAAACAGGCTCCAGGCTCTGAGCTGGCAGTCAGCACAGAGCCCGACACGGGGCTCGAACCCACCAACCGCGAGATCATGACCTAAGCGAAAGTCGGACGCTTAACCGACTGAGCCACCCAGGCGCCCCTAATGTTTATTTATTTTTGAGAGAGTGAGAGATAGAGAGAGAGAGAGACAGGATTCGAAGCGGGCTCCTTGCTGACAACAGCGAGCCCGACCTGGGGCTCGAACTCATGAATGTGGAGCTCATGACAAGAGTGGAAGTCAGACACGTAACTAAAAGTAACTGAGACACTCAGGCGCCCTAAGAGACTCACTTTAGATAAAAAAAAAAAAGAGAGAGATAGTAACATATAACCAATTAAACCAAGAAGGAAACCAGGGATCCATACATATGTAAATGGAGACTTTGATATACACAGTTTCAGAGAAACTCTCCAAAATGCTTCATAATCACAGAGGAATAGAGAAATTGCTTCATAGTCAGTTAATCGGGGTAAGGTTAAACAGCGGTTAAGCAGGGACTCAGGGGTCCACCTGCCAGGGCCCTACTCCGAGTACCACCACTTACAAGCTGTGTGACCTCAGGCAGTTGCTTTCCCTCTCTGTTTCTCAGTTTCCTCCTCTGTAAAGCAATATAAAAGCGGTACCTTTTTCATAGGGTTAATGTGAGGTCTCTCAGTGGCCACCTCCCCCCCCCCAGCCAAAGACCACCAGGAACACACCCGTGGTTGAACCAGTTCAGATGTAGTGCTCGTTTCCACAAGGGGGAACACACATCCTGGGGAAAAACCGCGAGGCACACGCCAAGTGCTATTACTACTGAGTATCTATGGGTAGAATGTGCCACGCGTACCCAGGACTAGCGCGCGGTGACCAACCTCCCAGTCACAGTACGAGGCAGGGGGACTGTCCCCTTTCACACCTGAGGAAACCGAGACTCTGATGAGGCCAGGCCAGCGGTCGCGGGACTGGGTACGGGTTGGAACAGCACCTTCCCTGGAGCTGACCGCGCGGCCCTGGCCACCACCCTCTCTGATACTTGTGTCAGCACTTCATTCCTCCACCCACTTTTCCGAGAGGAAGCAGTGTTCTCTTTCGTGTTCTTCTTCCTGAACCGGGGAGGAATGTTCCTGAGGAAGGGCTGCCGGGGCAGCACGTGGGGTTATAAAGCCCACAGTCTGGCGAGCGGCCGGAAAGCGGAGGAGAATGGCGGAGATGTGTGACCCCAAGGAGCCGGGTGACCCCAGTGAAGGTGAGCTCCCGCTCCGGGGAGATGGGAGGGACGGAGGTCAGGGCTCCAGGGTCCTGGGGTGTCGGGTCTGCGGCCACCAGCTTGCAGCCCCCGCGGCGGGGCTCGGGCAGGCTTGGCTTCAAAGCTCAGCCAAGTGCGTTCTGTCCCGGTCAGAGGAGGAGATGTTTGGGGGCCAGAGACTGGCGAAGAAATACACTGGATTGCTCAGGAGCTCACGGAGCCTGCCAGGTACTGAGGCCGGCGTTTCCAGAACTGCCATCTGGAGAAGCGGCGGCTGGAAGCCCCCCCCCTACCCCCACCCCCGACCTTACCCGGCTCCAGCAGGGGTGGGTGGGGCAGGGTCTGTCCCTGAGAACCTCAGCTCTGCCCATCTGCCGGTCCTTCAGGGTGTCTGACCCGGGCCCATCTGCCTCTGCTGCTGCTTCTCATCTCTTTGGGCTTCTTCATGCTCCTCGTGACCACTCTGATCCAAGGTGAGTCAGAGGCTGGGGGCTTGGAGTCTTGGGTCCCTTTAGGTTTTCCCGCTGGGATGCTCTTTGCCCTATGCCACGGTCCCCAAACCCACTAGGACTTGGGCATTTGGGCTCCGCATCGCCTGCTGTGTGACTGTGGGCTGGTTACTACCTCTCTCTGAGGCTGTTTCTTATCTTCCTCCACACGGGACCTAGGCTCCCCGAGACCTTGAAACCAGATTTGACACCAGGTCAGGCCTACAGATGGGGCTGATAAGAGGGGAATTCTCGGGGTGCCTGGGTGGTTCCGTTGGTTGAGCGTCTGACTTTGGCTCAGGTCATGATCTCATGGTTCGTGAGTTTGAGCCCCGCATTGGGCTCTGTGCTGTCAACACAGAGCCTGCTTTGGGTCCTCTGTCCACTCCCTTCCTCTATCCCTCCCCTGCTTGCTCTCGAAAATAAATAAACATTAAAAAAATAGGGGCGCCTGGGGAGCTCAGTCAATTCAGCGTCCGACCTTGTCTCAGGTCATGATCTCACGGTTTGTGGGTTTGAGCTCCGCATACATCGGGCTCTATGCTGACAGCTCGGAGCCTGGAGCCTGCTTTGGATTCTATGTCTCCCCCTCTCTCTGCCCCTCCCCTGCTCGCGCTCTGTCTCTCCTCTCAAAAATAAATACAGATTTAAAAATTTTGTTTTAATACAAAATAAATAAAGGGGAATATTCTCGTCTGTTCTAGTCTCCAGGATCCACCAGTCCCTGCAGAGGGAGACGGGGAACCATCAGGAGACAAGCCGTCAGGGGAGCCCCGGCCTAGGTGAAGGGCTAGATGCCAGGTTTGGGCCAGGAGAGGGCTCAGAGGCTGTGTGGCTTTGGATGAGCCACGGATACCCCTCCCCCCAGGGGTGAGGGAGGGAGGGTAGAGGTGGGGGAGGAGACTGGATCCCTGGGTGCGACCCCGGGGCATGGTCGGGCAAGTCATCTCTGAGCCTCCGTTTTGTCGTTCGCATAACAGACTCTCGGGGTCCCTTGTGAAATCTATCGGTAATGTCACCGGGGCCCTCTCGGCACCACGCACACACTAGGTGCTTAATAATTGAAGTCGTCTTCTTCCAGGGGATGCTTCTCGGGAGCAGAAACCATCAGACCTGGAGGAGATCCTCCAGCAGTTGACGTGGATGAATGTCACCCTGGGTGAGGGTCAGACACCAAGGTCGGGGGTGGGGGGGTCCCAGGTGGGGCTGTCGATGGCTCGTGGCTTCCTCAGGCTGGGGTCTCTCATACGGATTTCTCGGGGACGGAGCTGACAGCTGAACACAGGGGCCCTGGGTTCCCAAGACCTGACGCCCGTGCCGGGGGCCCATCTGACCCGACCCCACTCCCCTCCCCAGCGGGCCTGTGCCGCCACTGCCCCTGGAACTGGGAGTTTTTCCAGGGAAGCTGCTACTTCTTCTCCCAGACCCAGAATATCTGGAAAGAGTCCATCACCGCGTGTCAGAGCATGAGGGCCCAGCTGGTGATCATCAACAGTACTGAGGAGCAGGTGGGCTGGGGCGGGGCGGTGGCCGGGAAGGCTTCCTGGAAGAGGACCCACAGTGGCCTTGGGAAGGTCACGTGAGAGAACATGCGAGCGGAGCCCATGTGTGAACAGAAAGGGAACTCGGAGCCCTCTTGAGGCCGTGCAAACTCCTTCCCCAGACACAAAGCTGAGGCTCCAGTTAACACGTGTCCGCACGTGTGTGCACACTAACACAATCACGACACACGTTCACGTGTGAAGGCACACAATTTAAGTGAGGGCTAGAGGCTGGCCCACAGGTCTTCCCCGGGGGGCCGGGGGCCATGGAGGCAGACACGGGGGATGGGTGATCTCTTGCTGCCTTTGCTCCCCCGCCCCAGAAATTTCTGAAGGCTTGGAATTCGAAAAATAACCAGCGCGTATGGATCGGCCTCAGTGACCACCACAATGAGGGATCCTGGAGGTGGCTGGACAACACCCCCCTCCAGCTCAGGTGACCTCCCAGGGACGACGGGCTGGGAAGGGGGGGCACGGAAACCCAAACCCAGGGGCGCTCAGACTCTGGGGTTGGGAAGCATCACCCGATGGGCTTGCTTGGTGGAGATGCAGAGCCCCGGCTCCGTCCCAGGCTGGGGGAGCCTGCTTCCAGAAACCTAGGTAGGGGCCCAGGAATCTGCATGTGCACTTTGCCGGCGCCCATTCTGAAGGAGGTGGCGTTTGAACCCTTGTTTGGAAAACGCCGCCTCTGAGTCCTCGCCACTCTCCGGCTGCTGCTTGGATTTTGCTGCCAAAGGCCAGGGGCCAGCTCTTCCAAGGGTGGGCTGGGGGGTGGGCTCTGGGTGGAGGAGGGGGGCTGATGGATTTGATGGTGTTCACAGCTTCTGGAAAGAAGGAGAGCCCAACAACCATGGAGATGAGGACTGTGTGGAATTGTACAGCGACGGCTGGAATGATAACAGATGTAGCACGGAAAACTTCTGGATCTGCAAGAAGCCCTCGTCGCCCTGCCCTGGCCCCTGAGGGCCTGAGCTCCCCCCACCCCACCCCGTCTCGAGAGACGAGGCAACGTGGGTACACATGCTGTCACTTTTCCTCTGGCTTCATTCTTTCCGCCTCTCCCGCCGGAGGACTCCCAGCCTTCTTCTGCATGGAGGTCTTTAAGATCCTGAGAGGGATTCTGAGGCCCCTTCCCTTCTAAGGTCTGTCCCTTTAGAGGCTCTGGACATCTCCCTTCTTCTGTTGATGGTCTCAGCCCCCCAACCCTCACTGACATCCCCTCAATAAAGTCACATGGTGCATTATGTGTTCCATTGAACTTATGTCTATTTTTTGGCCACTGTTTCAGTTACTAGAGTTTCATATTGTGTTTGATAGAAACCAGGATATTGTTTTCTTTCACTCGGTTTCTCTCTACTACTGTGTACTTTATTTCTCAGGAACAGTTTTGAATTAATTTGTAATTTGGGTTGGGAATATACATGTATACATAAATGTATGTACATGTCTATGTGTCTGGCTATCTATTTATTTATCTATCATTTATCTATCTATTTATCCCCTATCATTTATCTATCTTTTTTTAATGTTTATTTATTATTGAGAGACAGAGAGAGACAGAGCATGAGCAGGGGAAGGGTCAGAGAGAGAGGGAGACACAGAATCGGAAGCAGGCTCCAGGCTCTGAGCTGTCAGCACATAGCCCGACGCGGGGCTCGAACTCAGACGGTGAGATCATGACCTGAGCCGAAGTCGGACGCTTAACTGACTGAGCCACCCAGGTGCCCCTATCTATCTATCTATCTATCTATCTATCTATCTATCTATCTTATCTATCTATCTATCTATCTATCTATCTATCTATCTATCTATCATCTGTCTATCATCTGTCTGTCATCTATCTATGCATTCATTCATTCTTGAATACATCGTGTCTTTATACAGTATTTTTTAAATGTCCTTTAGTAAAGTTTTGTGACTTTATTCATACAAATTTTTAAAAACTTTATTGCTAAATGTGTGTGTTAGTTTCCTATTGATGCTGTAACAAATTACCACAAACTGAGTGGCCTAAAACAGCACAAATGTATCTCTTACAGTTCCAAATATTCAGTCTCTTAATTGCCTTTGTGGCCTTAACCTTTTTGACAAGAATTAGTCAATTATTCTTTCTTTTAAGTTTATTTTTATTTACTTTTGAAGGTGGGGGGAAGGAACAGAGAGAGAGCCAGAGAGAGAGAATCCCAAGCTGTCCACACAGAGCCCCACACGGGACTCGAACTCACCAACCGTGAGATCGTGACCTGAGCTGAAATCAAGAGTTAGACACTTAACCAACTGAGCCATCCAGGTGCCCCAAAAGCACGGGTCAATTGTTCTACAGAATGTCCCTCACTTGAATTCATCTGTGTGTGCGTGTGTGTGTGTGTTTTGTCTCTCATAATTAGATTGAGGTTAGTAATTCTTTTTTGCAAAAATACCACAGAGGTGATGTTGGATCCTTCCCAGCACCTCATCTCAAGGGTTACATGACGTCAAGATGTTTTATTATTGGCAATGTTAATCACAATTACAGATTACTCCATTGCAAAGCTACTATTTCCCCCTTGGTGATGAATAAATATCTTGTCAGGAAATACTTTGAGACTACAAAAATACTCCATTTTTCATAAAATTCCCATCCTCTCACTTGGGCATCCATCATTGGATCATCTGTGGCAATTATTATTGTATTCTTAGTAGTGATTTTCTTAATTATCCTACCTTTATTAATCGCTCTTTTCTGTAAGAAAGACGTACCCCCTCTCTTCCATTTATTTGTATATTCACTGATTTATTTAGATCGGTATGGACTCAAAGATATTTATTTCATTCCATGGGTTATAGTCCAACACTATCATTTATTTTCTTGCACAAAATGTTCCAGCTTTGACCATTAAGAATTCCTTCAGGTTACGGGGTGCCTGGGTGGCTCAGTCGGTGAAGCATACAACTTCAGCTCAGGTCATGATCTCACAGTTCATGAGTTTGAGCCCCGAATCCAGCTCTCTGCCCTCAGGACAGAGCCCGCTTCAGATCTTCTGTCCTCCCCCCTCCTCTGTGCCCCTCCCCCCTTGCACTCTCACTCTCAAAATTAAAGATTAAAAAAAATAATTTCTTCAGATTTACATCTTGTTTTTTCCTCACCCAAGATCTGGGATCAACCATTCTTCCTTTTTTTTAGAGATGGTACTTGGGAGCCAAGATCTGTGGGCTCATTACTGTTTTGTCTTGCCATTTTATTTATTTAAAAAAAATTTTTTTAGTGTTTATTCCTTTTTGAGAGACAGAATGTGAGTGGAGGAGGGGCAGAGAGAGAGGGAGACAGAATCTGAAGCCGGCTGTCAGCACAGAGCCCGATGTGGGTCTCAAACCCATGAACTGGGACATCATGACCTGAGCTGAAGTCAGACACTTAACCAACTGAGCCACAGGAGCCCCTATTTTTTATTTTTTAATTTAATTTTTTAATTTTTAATTTTAAAATGGCATCTATGCCCTTTTATAATTTAAATTTTTAATGTATGTTTATTTTTGAGAGAGGAAGGGGGAGAGAGAAACAGCATAAGCAGGGGAGGGGCAGAGAGAGAGGGAGACACAGAATCTGAAGCAGGCTCCAGGCTCTGAGCTGTCAGCACAGAGCCCGATGCGGGGCTCAAACCCACGAACCACGAGATCATGACCTGAGCCGAAGTCGGACACTTAACCGACTGAGATTACCCAGGTGCCCCTCCCCCGTCCTTATTTGTAACATCTTTCTGCAACAGTGAGAAATCTGGCTCTCATTATTCACAATATATTTGCTAATAATTTACTCAACCTTAGAATACACAGGAAGTAGTTTCAGAATTTATAATTCAGATCCCTGCGAGGAACAATTATCCTGTTGTTGAAGACTAATGGGTAAGACTAATGGGTACAGAGTTCCTTAACATCTTGTGCATTATTGAAGGACAGCTGAGCTGGGTATCAAATCTTTGGTTTGCACTTTTGTTCATTGAGTTCTTTGTTGTGTTGTGTTTTTAAATTTGGGTTTTTAAAAAAGAGAAATGGAGGACGGGCAGGGGAGGAAGGAGAGAGAGAATCTTAAGAGCCCCGACGCGGGGCTCTGTCTCACAAATGGTGAGATCATGACCTGAGCCGATGGTTGCTTAACCAACTGCACCACCCAGCATCCAGTTTTGCTGTGTTTTTCAAATGACACTCATTGGTGTCTTGTTTTGAATGTTAGTTTTCAAAAGCCTTAAATCAGTAGAATTCTTTTGACTTGGTAAATTGTTTGATTGGGAGGACTTAGGGATTTAATCTTTGAAATTGAATAGTTTAAAAATATGTCTCAGAGTCGGCCATTCTGGGTTAATTTTCCTAGGTACATGGTGAGCCTTTTCAATGTGTAAATTCAAGTGATTTTCTATTTCTGAAAAAAAAATTGCATATGGTTTAAATATTAGCTCTGTTTTGTTTTGTCTTTCTTCTTCAGGGACTCCAATAAGACACACATCATTCTTTCAGTGCCTGGAATTCCATTTCAATCCATTTCTCCCCGACTCTGTTTCACTTCTTTCTCAATGTCATTATTTTTTTTGTTGTTGTTTTCCTGCCTTTTTTCCACTGCCCTTTATCAAATTTTCATTGGAGTCTATTCTCTCTTGAGTACTTTATAATGTATTCTGCAGTTCTGAGATAATTTTGCCTTTTTCTTCCATTTCTTTCCTTCATTTATCCCTGTCCATGTCAGTATTTTAGTTTTTGAATTTTTGATGCAAGGAGGTTTTCTTTTTTTTTTCATATTGGCAAATGCCCGTTTCACTATACAGTATCGAATTCTGCTTGGAGCGTTGACTTACAATTTCCTTCCACTCCTTTGACTCCTTTCTGGGAGTCATATTTCCTTTGTTGGTTTGTGTGGATTTTCATTTCCTGAATTCTTTTTTTTTTAACATTTATTCATTTTTGAGAGAGAGAAAGAAGAGAGCGTGGAAGGAGCAGAGAGAGAGGGAGACACAGAATCGGAAGCAGGCTCCAAGCTCTGAGCTGTCAGCACAGAACCCGATGCGGGGCTCAAACTCACTGACCGTGAGATCATGGCCTGAGCCGAAGTCGGACGCTTAACCGACTGAGCCACCAAGGCGCCCCTCATTTCCTGAATTCTTGCAACTACTCTCTGTGGACTTACTATGTTCCTTTTGTTCAATGTTTTGTTACTGGGAATGGTCTATGAGCTATGTGGCTCTATGGCGCCCTCTTCTGTCACCGCACCAAAGAGGTAATTTAGTATTCTTGGTGCCGGAAATAGGTTGAGAGATCTCCAATTCATAGTTTTCTTTTGTCTTGGAGGGCCCTACATTTGCGCCTTCCATTCCTCTTCCTCTCTTCCCTTTTCTCCTTCCTTTCCCCAGAAGCTATGCATATTGAAGACTGTCCCTTATATTCATTCCTTTTCTAGAATTCACAGTCTGATCTGCTCAGACATCATTATAGTATTTTCAGACTTAGGGTGAGCTTAGTCTTTCCAGAGCTAGTTCTAGATTGTTTTTCGCGTTTCCCTTTTATGTATCCACTGTAGTTTTTCTCCATTGCCTTTGGTCCAGGCATGGAGCACAAGGTGGGGATCTCATATTTCAATTCCATGATTGGGAAGAAATATTTGGGAAACAGGTAGATCTCCCCACGGTGGGACACTCTTGAGATTCTTCAAAACTGTTCCGATACAAATGGATAATGTTGTTAACACCAAAAGCCATGAATGGCATTAATAGTGTTTTTCTAGGCTTACAGGGGACTCCCAGTTGAGTTGACTTTATCTGCCAGACTAAAGATTGACCACAGCCTAACAGGATGGCGGTCTGCAGTGGAGGGTACGATGCAGGCGACAGAGATTGTGGCATCAGTAGACAGAATTGCTATCATAGATGTACAGGGTGCTGGGGAAAGGTCAAGTGAAAGCTAACAGTTCAGCACTATTCACAATAGGCAAAAGGAGGAAACAGCCCAAATGCCCATCAGCCAATGGACGGGTAAACAAACTCTAGTATATTCATACAATGGGATATTATCCAGTCATAAAAAGGAACTAAGTACTGACACCTGCTACAACATAGATGAACTTTGAAAATATTATGCTCAGTGGGAGGAGCCGGGCACAAAATGTCACATAGATGAAATGTCCAAAGTAGGCAAAACTTCATAAAGGCCAAAAGCAGATTCATGTTGCCAGGGACTGGGCGGGGGGGGGGAGTGGGAAGTAAGTGTTAATTGGTCTAGGATTTCCTCTTCCTG